TTTTCGGATGTTAGGAGAGTGGTTTTTTTTTGTGTTGATTAGGTTTAGAATTAACTAGACATTTCGATAGGGTTGAAGGTTCTGTTAAAGAGTGGATTAACGAGATAATGGAAACCCTGAAAAATGATAGAAGCGAGGGTCGAGCAGTTGGCTGTGGATTTTGTTTATTATTTCCCCCTCAAACCCCCAAACATTCAGATTAATATAAATCAGTGACACATCCACAGTCCCGCGATTGCCCCGGCGATAAATTAAACACGCGATTTCGTCATGTCTGATGTATGGCAACAACGAAAAAATTCCACGGAAGTGTATAATGTTTAAATATACCGACTTCCGTGATGAAAAGTGTCACTTGACAGCACGAAGACGAGAGTTTACAGTCTAATGACTAGAGAAATTCTCAGGGATAAGAGCGAAAGTAAATCACACCCCCATCAAATAACCTAGACGACGAAAAGTTAGATAACTCAATAACGGCTGAGTGAAATTCAATAATTCTTATTTCTTCTTTCTTCAATGAGTCATTGAAATTGGTTCGCTTAATCTCGAGATATCAGCTGTAGACTCAAATCTGACCCAGCCAACATCAAAACCTTTTGCAAAAATAAAATTGTTTTGTTTTCCAATTTTTTTTTGTTTCATAAAAAAAAAATTCTGAAAAGTTTTCCCAAAATTTTTTGAAAATTGGGAAAAAATATTCCAATTACAATTTTTTTTTACCCGGGCACATAGTGGCAGCAAAGCTTTTTAATGAACTTGCAAGTCAGTAATTACCGGAGTCGAGTATCAAGGAATTCCATCTTGTCATAAAATATCATCAACATCAATTGTTATTTTCCTTATTTATTTGACATCTTCGTCAACTTAATTCATCAATCTCTCAATAATGGAAGAAAACATTCACTGAATTTTGACAACAACAGCTACTTGCTCGCCCCTCAGCAGCATTTGCGGCACGTGTCTCTCCAAGGTCTCGGTTTTTCCGTTAGATTCCTTAACGATGACCTTCGGCATGTCCTCATCAATGGTTACCGATTGTTGGGGCAACCCTGCAGGAAGAGACAGTTAAATTGAATCAGAGGGTTGGATAAGCGTCGAATAAGCAGATTGTTAACTATTTTAGTCGTATCGGGGCGAGTTCATCGACTCTGCGGGGTGCCCAAGGGTTGATGAAACTTGGTTTAGCCTAGGGTGAACCCACGGACTTAAACTCAACTGGCGGTGGGACACGTGTATCTGGGAGGGGGTGGCAATCGATTTGTGAGGGGGCTGGGTATTACCAAGGTCACACCTCCTGGGGGTATGGCGATATCAATGACCCCTCGACCTTCCCCATCACACCCTTCGCAGATGCGCAATGTACGTCAGTAGGGCAAAACGAGCATTGCCCCTGGTGGGGTTTTCAACCCTTTTGGGGGTGGGCGTTTCCGGGGTGGAGGTGGTGAATATTGAGATGGGGATTTTCAAATTTTTTTTATTCTTTTTGAGTTCTTTTATTTATTGCCAGGACTTTGAAGGATCGCTGTCGTTGAGGTTAACTCCGCGGGTATTGATTCTCTTGGGGATTTCACAACTGCTGGTGGAAGGGCGAAGACTCATTCATATTCAGGGGGTTTTTGTTCTGTCTTTTTGATGGGGGATGAAAAATTCAGGAGGGGGAGGGAAACAGGCGTGCTTGGAATTCCCCGACAGTCCGGTCCGTTCGAACATCGAGTCGTGCACTTCCCAGGCTGATAAGAATGCGATTCACCTGAGATCTGGGGGAGATACCAGGAAATGGGTCGGGGACAAAATGTTGGTCTGTTCGAGACGAACATTTTTTGTTCTAACTGTTTCTTTGAGTTTTCACGAGTTTGCTAGTGAAATTAAGTCGAAAGTGGAAACCAATTTCGACTGTTTCGGTCACTCTCGGTTTAATTTCTCGTTTTTAGCCGATATGTCTGAATCCATAGGAGATATCGGATTTGTTGTTAGGATCTGTCTTGTAGCTCATGAAATTGTCCAAAAGAAAGGTTCATACAAAAATTCTGGATTACCCGTAGGTTTTCAAAGTACAGCATATGGATTCGGGATAGCGATAGATATTTACCGCGCAAACCACTCATTGTGTTATTTTTTCAACTTATGGCAATTGCTTTGGGGTTTTAGAGTTTATCAATGAGTGATAACGTTGGCGATGAGAATTTGATAGAGAAGACCTCTGAAGATAGATACCGTTTTAATTTCTGTTGTTGATCGCGTGTGGGTTGTTTTGTAATTGATAGCCAAAATCTGGATATATTCAAAGGGTCTCTGACGACATAGATCATAAATAATAAAATGAAGGGCAGATTAATGAGTTTTTCATCATTAATTTTTTGGGATTAAATTATTTAAATTTCTCCTACTTGACATTTGAGCTAGTGAATTTGGAATTCCGTAGAATTTTAGTATATTGTATTTATAATTTTCATCGAAATGATGACTGATCATTTGTCTGGTTGGGAAATTTTATCAATTCGTCATATCACAATGAGATTTCAATAGAGAAGAGTTCTAAAGATACTATTTCAATTCTTTGTTGTTCATCACGTTTTAGATATTTTAAGAAAGACTAACTCAAATTATGTTTAAAAAGCTATAAACAGCTTACAGATAATGAATGAAGTATCTGAACAAAGTCTTTGTAAAATCAGGTAATAAAATCAGAGGAATTGTTTAGTGCATGGAAACTGATGACAATTGTTCGTTAATCATTTTTCAGTTGAATTCTTGTTAATATTTTTCCATGAATTTTCTGGAATTTTAAGGTCTTTCAAATTAAAAAAATTTAATTCCTAGAAAATTCAGATAAATCATGGAATTCAGAGCTGAATTGAAGTCCCCTGAATTGAAAAGGGTTTTTTTTTTTTTGGAACGGTTGTGAGTGCGAAAATGGAGAATTTCCAGCTATTTGCGGAAAGACGATGGAGAATCGGGGAGGAAGGGGGGAAAAATAAAACGGACTGGGGTGTGATGTAACCGGAGACAACACTTAAGGGTTCGCACGGAAGTGTGTGTTAGGGGCAGGGACCGGCCTTGACTATACGTACGTCTCTGCCAACACGTTCGATATGGAGTAGAGGTCCACGTGCCCTCGCTCATTCCTCCCTCTTTATTTTTCCTCATTCCTCCACCTCTTTTCCCATTTTAGTGCCCGACCAGTCGTTCAGTCGAGTTTGTCCCTCACCCGTTCTTTCACGAGCGCGATGTATCGTTTTCGCGGTAAATCATATGTGAATTTGAAAAATCTATCACCAGGATAACTCACTCGAAATCCATTGGGTAAATATACATTTATCTCTCAAATCAATGGACTCTATCTCAAAACCTATCGGTGATAGACTATTTTTGTATTGAACCTTTTTCATAAACAATTTCGTAAACTGAAAAATGTTTCCTATGGAGATTGCGCTGTTTCCGGTAGATTCCGAGATATTCGATAAAAACGGGGATTGAAAATGAGAAAGATGAAAGTAGTCAATGAAATTGGGTTTCACTTTGGAATTGATTTCGTAGGGTAACTGCTGGAGATACGAAAAAATGCGTGAGGAAATGAAATGTTAGTCTTTTCAAAGTGAACATTTTGTATCCGAAGCATTTTATCGTATCACCAATAGTTCTCGAGTGAATTGCATCCAAACTCATTTAGCTCTCGTTGATGGAGTTTGTTCACGTTTCGTTCCGGTCTGTTCTCCTCAGTAAAAAATAGCATGTCAAGCTGCTCGTAACGTGCCCAGTTGACAAATTATCCATCTTCAATATCTCGAACCTCATGCGAATGAACGTTTGTATTTACTCGAGTGCTAATAGTGAAAAATGAACGAAGAAGTTGATATCGAAATTTACGATAATTAGTGGTACTACACAAAGCATTACTGAAAAAAAATAGATAAATGTGATGCACTTGCTGATAGTCGAGTGCAATTTCGAGGCCACAGAGGGATTAATACCAATGATATGATTGCACTCTATACATAATCGTCAGAACGACGAGTGTGCACTGAGTAAAACTCATCCAAATCTTCATTGCCAACTTTTTTTTCTACATCTCCAAATGTATTCAAGATACAGAAATTTTTGGAGAATCTTTTTTGTAAAGATCGGTGAGATCTGCAATAACTTTCCCACGATAATTTCTCTATCTATTACAGATTCAGAGATAATCCACCGCGACCAATCAGTTTTGGAATTCCGAATTAATTCCTGTTTGTTTACTCTTATTTACATAACCGTTTGAATTATTCCGGAAAGAAAAAAAAAGTGGTGATGACCGGAAATATACTTAACCCAGTGCCGGTGCTTTTCGCTTGACCTTGCGTGTCCAAACCTCAAGGCAATCCTCTAATGCTAAATTCCAGTGTTTGTCAAAAGCTGCAATATAGGCTTCCACGTGTCCTCTGATTCCTCTTGCACCTCTGGTGTACACCTGGTGTAATCATTGCATCAATTAATCAATCGTGATTTTTTTTATTTGAACCCAATAATTCCGAAAGGAACTGGCGAAAAAATCCGGGAAAAAGAGAATATCAAAAAGCGATTATTCATAATAATTCCAAGGATTCGATCAGCAATTACAATAATGTCTCATGCGAGTACTATTCATTTGTACAGTTACGTATGCCAGGGAGATATCAGTCTGATATACCCGGAAGTGCATGCTCTCTAAAACAAGGCTCTCCTCAATGCCTCAGACACAACAGTAATCAAACAAGAAAACCTAGGCAGATAAAAAAAAAAAAAGAAACGACGAGTAAGAAAAATACGATTTGCAACAGTAACAAATAGCTTTTGCTGAGCTATCGCGACATCATCGGAACAATTAAATCAGTGATCAGGGTATTTCGAGGTGGGAATGAATTTTCGATCGGAATTGGATGTAGGGAATTCCCTTGTCCATGTTTCGATCAATGTTTTCTCTTATCCAGTATTGGGTCACGACCTCGTGACTGTCGACTGTATATATACATGAACGCAATGGCCTTGAGTTGAAGGCCGCGCTGAATGTCACGATTAAGTGTCTATGATCCAATGGGTGTCAAAAAAAATTTATAGTTATTTTTTTTTCTCCAGGGAATTATTGGTTCCAGTAAAAAGATGATTCTCCGGTGATAAAGCGAGATAATGGTGTATTCCGGGGGTTTTGGAGAGGTCAGGATGGAAATGATTTTTCGGGGAATTCCTTGACTACCTTGTGATAGGGGTTCTGTTTTAGTAACTTTTACCGAGCTGATTGACTGGGAAACCGCGAGAAATTCGGGAAAAAGTGAATTAGCAAATTGTTTCGTTTATTTAAGACGAAGAAGTTTTGATCAGACGATTTTTACGTATCTCCAACCGCTTCTCCGGAAAGTTTAGTTAAAGGTCGCGATCTCGTGGGTTCGAAGGGATTTGGAAGTTACGGTGGCGTAGAAATTTGCGAATATCTCGAAAACTGTGGGTGGTGGAAAATTTTTTTACGGCCCTTTTCTTTAGCTCTCCTTTTCCTCTATGAAAAACGTTCTCATTGATAATAGTCGATTTGCAGTGGATTTCGAGATATTTAGGGAAAATTGGGGAATTGATGTTGAAGGTTATATCCTCTTCTCTGCGATTTTCGTTCAGAAATTAATTTAAACACCAGATGTTTAAGGGCTCGTCAGCTGGTGTTAACAGATCATATATAAAAAGTTAAATAAGAAGGGAAGCTTAGAGAGTGTTTGATGGTTGAAAAATCACTGGGGGAAAAAAAGAATTCGAAGGTCAGACACTAGTTATGTTGTTGGAAGCATTTTTTTTTTTGAGATTTCAGTTTCGTTTCCTGCCTTTTTCCTCTCATTTTTATGGACGACTGGAGGCATAAAGATATTCAGTGGGTATAATAGCTGCGACCTTCGCATTTTCAATTCCGTATTTCAGTAGGTCTGGCGATATGGAGACAGACAATATGTCAACGGATCTGGAAAAACGCCAGTGATGATTTTATCATTAATCTCTCTATCTTCAATGATTGAACTCGAGTTGGTCTTTGAAAACGTCATCTAATGTAATTACTGATTATTCTCTATCACTCGATTTTTACATTCAAAATATAAATGCAGACGTAGCCATCGGTTAGAAGGGAATACATACCGATTATCAGAAGAATTTACATAAAATTTTTTCTTACGTCAGAACATTTTTTTTTTTTTTGATTGTCAATTGAAGTTCCAGCATCAGTTTGAATAATTCTTTTGGCTTTTTTTTCTGGAGTAATTAGAATTTTGAATTTGAATAGCAATTTTTTTTTTTTATTAACAGTGGGGATTAGGTGGAGGTCATTGCGGTGCTGATAATGAAATTGAATAATTTCGCGCGGAGTTGATATTTTATTCGTGTCAGTAATTGGAGGGAACAGGCAAGGTATAGATCACGAGTAAGCGATAAAAAAAAGTAATGAAATTGACGTGTCGACATTAATATTTCGTTGTTGTCCTGTTTACATCGACAATTCCGACAATAAATGTAAAGCGAGTGCTCAATACTCGTGATAAACTAAAAAACCATTTCAAAGTATCTAATTGTTACCAACAATTACCAATAACATTAAATTGCTGTAAGTAAAATTATTCCATTGAATTCTAAAATTTTTGTTTATTCCTTACAAAAAAAGAAATCATTGTTGAGAAAATGATGAGATATTAATTTCTATTGCGTCAGACCGTGAGGGAATTCAATGGAAATATAGGAATTCCGCGATTAATTTTGTCTCCAGATTATGATAAAAAATCGCAACTTCTCAATTTCACTAATCAGATTGTGACCTTGGATTGTAATCATCAATTTTCATGAAATAAGGGGGGGAAAACAGCGTCAGAACAGGGACGTGAGTTCCACTTGGTGATGGGGTGAGCGGTTGTCATGGGAACGAGTGTTGACCCGAAGATTTTGCCTTCCTGAAATCTCTTGAGAAAAAGACAACTAAAAACCAACAACTGACTCACCTTAACTTTTGTCTTGGTTTGCATACAGTTATAGAGTACTCGAAGGGGTCCAAACGTATTTTGCATTTTTCCAAGAATATTTTTGTAGCACTCGATTGGTTTTCCCCGTCTTTGTCCCTGGATTAACCCTGAAAATCACATGAAAAAATTGTTTGGCGAATGTCTGAAGAACAACTGTAATTGGATAAAACCGCATGAGGAACTTTTTGTAGGAAATTTCATGAGCTGTAAAAAATCTTTTATCACTTGTTTCGTTAAAACCGATAATTTTCGAGGTATTCGCCGAAGTTTAGACGCGGTGTTTTCGCGATTTTTCCAATTTTCTTACCGAGACGACAGACAATTGTTGTACGTGCAGTAATTGTTGTTGACAATTAGGATGATTGATGACAGTATCTGTTAATCAGTTTGGATAACCTTGTCCTATCAGAAATGGATTATCTAATGCTTTTGTGATAACAATTACCTGTTATCGGAATAGCGGAATGAACCCACGATTTTTCGATTCGATTTTTCCACTTTGCTATCGCTAATACGAAATTAGCCTCGTGCCCTGTTGGCTGTACAGAGGCGACAAATCATTGTTTATCCTTGATGAACCGGGAACGTGTCCCCTTGTCGATCGTATCTCCTCGTGTGGTTTCTGGAGGAACATGAGGCGTTCGTCGACCTCCGATCCCCGAAAATTGTCTCCAAGAGGGAATTTCTTGAGAAGAATTTTTCGATCGTTAAATAATCACGCGAAATTTATAGAGTAATTCGAAATACACCGGATTTTAATGATTAAAAAATTTAAGTCTTAACACTTCTGAAATGTGATCTGCAACAAAAAATAATCAAATTGCAGTGAAATTGAACTTTTCTTCGCAGTATCTCAGAATTGAACAGAAATATAGAAATTTTCGATAAAAGCTTTTACCTGTCCCTCATTCCGTTCTATGAAAAAGGTCCTAATGAAAATTTCGAAATGTTCATTAGATTCTAAGCTATCTCTCAAAATCAAATGAATTGAAAAATAAAAAGTCGATTCAGCGAGTCACTTAGTTTTCAAAAAATATTTCAGATTCTAATAGAAATGGCGGATTTTTTGTAATGACCGTTTTTGCAGCTGAAATTCCATTCTACAAAAAAGTTGCTGACAAAAATTTCGTTATTTTCCGTAGATTCTGAGAAAATAAGAGTTGAATTGAAAAGTCAAAGTACGAAAGGATAGAGTACGATAATTCATCTTCGGGTATCGACATCTCATTGTCAAAAAAATCGATAAAAAATCCATCAACCCCATCGATAAATTCCCGGGAATTTTATCACTCGTAATGACTAGACTTGAGTTGGAGCGTGCCAATTGGCTTTCTCCACAAACTTTCATTCTAAGCACTCGCAACTTGCTCTTGCCCTCACCATCACATCCCCGCGATTTCAACGAAGAGGGAAAATTGCCTTCTCTTTTTTCCCTTTCCATTGGTCCCGACCATCGCCACTATTTTTTTAATCTCCCTCCACCTTTCTTTGTCCCATTCGTGGGCTGCACTTTCACTATCTCCTGGGCTGATCCAATTGCAATTCGAATCTCCATACTCCCCTCATCATATCATCAATCAAAATGGTAAAATAACGAGAAATTAAAACCACATGCAAAAAATCATTCCAGTTTTCCCACTTTCTTCAATAGTTTCTACAAATTTCCGCCACTTCACCTGCCAATTAATCATAAATATCATTTTGATTGGTGGTGATGAATGATTTCCATCTTTATTTATTTTTATCTCTAAAAAAAATTAGTCTACTATAGGAATTCTCACAGGAGCTTGTAAATCTTTAAATTGACAAGCAAATTGAATTTTCTCAAAGTTTTAGCCCTTGACACTCTCTACCTTGAATTTCGTCTCCTCAAGTTACACATAAATTTCAACTTTTCTCGCGTACCACTGCGAAAGATAAACAAAAACAAAAAATCTAAAATCCCGAGTCCTCCAAGCCCGAGAGATAACGTCCCCCGCGAGCATTCACGCGCGTTCTTGTGTTATAAAGTAAAAACCGTTAGGTTTGCACGCGCGAATGCGAGGCGAGGAAGACGAGAAGAAAAAAGATGAGGACACGGGTAGGACGTAACCATGCAGCGGCTTACGTCATTCGAGAAATCAAATCTTTTATCTCAGGGTATTAGTTGGTTTCTGAAGTAAAAACAAAGAAAATCGGCCTTTTCGGGGGCTGTACTGGTGGCGGTGGCCCTCCGTAATTCAGGGGCGCAGAGAGGGGGATCTCTGTTATTTCGGAGAGCAGTGGAGGTACTGGCTATTTTCGGTGATTGGCGATGTTTTTGGTGGTTTGGTGGGAGGTGAATGAGGGGAGGGCAGTAGCCAGGTGAAAACCGCGATGATAACCGGGTTTTGTTCGGGGGAATACCCGCGGATGATCCCCAGGTTGAGTGGCGCTGGGGTTCAACGTCCTGGCGGGCAGCGCACCCGAGGGAGTGAGAATATCCAGTCACTGGGAGTGTAACGGAGAGAGAAAGCATTGCCCTCTCATCGTGCAAAACTCGGGCCTCTTTCCACATATTACCTTGTCTCACTCGCCGGTGCTTTTCGCTTTGAACGTGAACTAGCTGGAGGTACTGTTACTTTCGCGACGGGGCCCTTAGATCCCTGAGGTGGTGGAGGTGGATCCTGGCGTTGGGGAAAATCCAAATGATTATTCAGGAGTGAAACGCACTGCGGGACATTTTTTTTAAATTCCGTTTGCCGATACTCGAGGATTTTTTAATACTCAAAGAATTTTAAAGGGGGAATTTCATTTTTCGGGAAATTCTGGAAAATTGGAAAGTTCAGGAGAACATTTTCGTCGCATTTCGATTTTTATTTGACTTTTTTTTTCTCAAGGAATTTTCCGATTGAAAATTCAAGATTTTATGGAAATTTGTGGTGTAATCAATGGAAATTTATAATATTAATTAGGTAATTTCAATTCAAGGTAATTTGGTGGTAAATATTCATATTTCCACAGAAAAATTGAGAATTCTATTGAAATTTCAATGAATCTCGGAACTTTGTAATTCTCCTCGTCCAAAATTTCTGACACGTGAAATTTCGATAAATTCCTAGAAAAATGTCTTTCAAGAAGATCCCCGAATAGAAATCCTCCATCTCTCGCGGATTCCCCGATTTTCAAAAGCTTTACGCGAAAGTAAAAAAATGATGCCGAACTTGGACTTGTAAATCATCAACTGATAAATATAATTTCAATCCAGAATGAAAATTCATCGCTACCATTATCTGGGGTGAACTCATGATTAAACATTGCGCTAGGTCATGCGAATTGAATTAAACTGTTAGCGATTAACTTCGGAAGTATTTCCGTCTCCAGCCGCAGCCTCCGCTTCTAAATCTCCCCATGACGCAATCTCCCTCTCCGCGAGTGTTTATTTACGTTGAATTGAATTGACTTGGGTTAAAGAGAAAAAAGAAATTCAAGCGTCCAGTACTACTCGTTCGTCGTGAAAAGAACAAGAATGTAACCCTGTCTTGTGAACAATGCCGACACAATCGTTGTCGAGGGAAGAAAATTCGCTTCCTCTCGTCGTTCTCATTCGTGGTATGCGTTCAAGTGCCTCACACTCTGTATTGCGAGGTCGACGCCCGGGCGCAACAAGTGCCGTCGACTCTTTGCGTGTGACGCGATCATTGCCCGGGTTATAGAATCAACGTTTTTCCAAATGTTCATTGTCCAATTTTTACCAAAAAATTCCACCAAAAACCTCCAAAATCCACCGAATCGCGAAAAACTCCGCGAATTTCTCCGCTACCTCGTAATCCATTGGAAATTCACACAAAAACATAGGGACCTTTTTCGTGCCCTTCGACCAGCCCTAAAAAATAGCCCCTTACGACTTTCACCGTATTCCTTACAGAATCCGCGATTTCTTCAAAGAAAACTGACGATTTCAAATCGCGTTCGCGCCTATGCCCTTACATTTTAACGCATATTTCTGAATCTGCGGGAAATATCGCAAATTGTATCTGAACCTTTTTTGTAGCTCGGGAAATTTTCAACAAAAAAGGTTCTGATGATCAATCGATGATTTCCGTGAGTCCCGAGATATACAGGGAATAATTGCTCGGAGAAAAATGAGTAACTGAGATTCGCGTGAGATTCATTGAAATCAATCGACTGATTTCAACAATAATTGCATATTTTCAGTTGGAAAATTATAGTCTACGGTTTAATTGATTAATAATCCATATAACCCACGTATGCACACACAAGTTAAGCGTACATTGGTCGTCGGCGCCGCGGGTTGAACCGAGGTCGACGCCCGGACGCAACAAGTGCTGCACACACACCGCAATACCCCACCCCTTCATAACATTTTAACGCAGGTTTAACCCTTCCTCCGACCCCCTGCAACTATTCCCCCTGTCTCCACCCCCTCTCTCTCTGTTGATTTTTTTCCCATAATTTTCACCTCCGGGTAGTCTTTTACGATTGGTAAGACATGTCAACGAATTTTCAATGTATAAATGCCTCGATTCACCCTCCTCTCTCCCCCCCTGGAGGGGGCACCACGAGATAGGGGGATAAAGGGGCGGAAGGGGAGGGGGTGATATGGAGAGGAGAAAGAAAGGGGGGAGATAAAAGCGATGAGTGTGCGCACCACGCGTCCGTGTAAATATAAAACTGCACTGGGTCAGGGATCCGTGATTTATCAACTACCGAGAGCTATTGGCCGACGGCCAACAGATATATCTACCCCTCGGGGCCATGGGGAAGAAGACCTTTCATACATGTTTTGTATTGAATTGAATTTTAAGAGTTTTTAGCGGTTTTTAGGGGAAATTATTTTTTTTTTAATTGAGAATCCTAGATCAGGCCCCTGGGAGTCTTGGGACCTGCTTTGATTCATTTTTTTTTTTGTCTGAATTTTTTATTGTAATTATCTACGTGGGGAACTAATGGGAAATCAGTTACTTTTTAGCAATTATTTTTTTTTACGAACTGCAGGTGATAAATTTGATGATTTCATCTTTAATTTTATTTCCTATTCTCTGGGGATAGGGTCGACGGTTTTATTGTCTTTCGTGGATCATCAGATGTCATCTCGTGCTTACCTAGGTTCAGAGGTGGAATTAGCTGACGGTGAATGGGTTTTTCGTTGGGAATTTTGACGCGAGAATTGACGCGAGAAGGCGACGAACACCCGTGGAATAGAGACAATGGGCTTTACTTACATGTTCATTGACGCACTCTGGGGTCAAACTCTACTTGGTTTTCGATTTTTTGATTCATTTGAGTGAGCGCCGAGTTGAGGAAATAGATAATTAATTGATCATTGAGCCCTTTTTATTTTACTATACAGTGCTTTCAACTCATCTGCGCCAATTACTCTCTTCATTGTAAACAAATAAATATAATATGACCGATGCATCAATATTAATTCAATCTCTTCCTCAATTTGGCATGCGCTCAATGCTTTTCTCTGTACGAAAGATCAGCCTAACTGTTTCTCATCTCGTTTAATCCCAAATCATTGCACAATTTATTATTCAACGGTAATTAAGACTAAACGATTGGCGAACTCGTCGAAATCACAAGTCCATTTTTATCGTTTCATTGACCCGTGGGTATCTCCAATGCGAGTGGTTTTATGGGAAAATGTCAGAGAACCTTTTTTGCGAGGAATTCAATTTCCCGCAAAAAATGTCCTATCACATTTCACTCGAAATCCTCCCGCTATTGACTTAGACCCATTCGAAAATTCCTCTTTCGAGATTATCAATTTTAAACTCATTTTACCGTCAGCTATAAATTAATCCTCGGGAACGTCAATATTATGAAATCATTAGGGTTATCTCCCACGCATTCAATTACACAGTCAATTAATTCGAATCCCCCCAATTGATTCCACCACTTCCGCTCGGAAGTTTCAATCGTAAATAGAAACACTGGCGCCATCTGTTGGTTAACTTCCTGAAATGCGTGCGCATCGTTCTAACCTGATCTGTGAGGATCACGTGGTGGGTTAAAAAGACACATTAACTCACCCTGATGTGGCAAAAATTTTCGACCCTCTTCGTCATCTTTTTTCGCGTTTTTCTGCAACAGCAAAAAAAAATTCCATTTCAAAGTCAAGAGAAAACCAAAAGAATCCGAAAAGTCGCAAAACCTCAGTATAAACCATCCAAGAACACCGGGAAGTCTCGAAAATCTCACCTTCGCGGTTATCCCCTTGAAAATTGACTCCCATTTCGTCAAATTATCGTACGTAGGTGCCCCAGGTACTGGTATAATTGTTTTTCGGGAATATAGGGCCCTCAGGGCATCGAAATCCTGATTTGTCAGGTCGAGACTCTCGTCGGACGAGCTCTCAGCATCGTCGGCCATAATGGTACTGTCGAGCGCGGGATAACGTGCGAAATTTAAATGTCAAGACGCGTAATTTTCAAAAATTAACTCGCATTGATTAAACTTTCGCGGTTATCTCGGCAGGGAGCGAATTTAGGAGGAAATGTCACATGAAATTCTCTGTGAAGAATTTCAAAACCTAGAAAATAGTCTTATCACTTTGTCCTCTAGGACCTCTTCTCCCCCTGTGAAATCCTTAATGAAGCAAAGAAAAAATCAGTTTTAAAAATTCAGTTTTATCTGCATTCTATTGCTGTAATTGCTTTTATATCTAAATTCATTAATGAACATGAATAATCATCGTAGGAATCTTTGGTAAATAGTTCAGGGTGATTCCGACCAGGAGACATTGAACTCTCCCAGTTCTGACAAAACAATCCTGAGAAATTAATAAAAAAAAGTGAGATTTAAATACGTACTCGAGAGGATGTTAACCTCTCCAGAAAACTTTCTTTCTCGGTTGTTGGGATTACGTAAAGTACTAGTAGAGGCTGCATAGAAAATGCAGCCACGAGAAGCCGATGTTACGCTCACAGGAAGTGAAACAACTCCTGACTGAAAGAAAGTTTTCACTTGGTTTTCACTTTCATGGAAATGCCGGGGTCTCTGCCTCTTCACGCCATTTATTCCCCCCCAGAGTGCATGAACTCCTATCCTAATTCATCACTCCAATTGATTCACTCATCCTTCACTCAATTGAAATCATATAAAGAGCTTTCCAAAAAAAGAAAGACTGGGATTTCGTTCGCGTCGTTATTATCGATTTATCACCGTTACTATTGTTTTTACGCGAAAATTTGAGAGAACATGTTCTCTTCGGGATATAGTCAGCTACAAAAATGTCCTTTAGGGTTTTTATCTGGAATCCATAGTTCTTGAGATAATTTGAAGAGCATTGATGAATGAATTTAGCGCGTGGTTATTGAAGTATTTTTGGGGGTTGGTGTATTTTTTATTCTGACGATTGCTATTATTTTTGTTTCAGGGCAAATAAAATTATTATCACAAGGTGGGGGTGGACACTGGACGGTGATTTTGGATGTTAGCAGGCGCGGAGGTGGCTAAAAAAGCCCCACCGCAAGGTACAGGTCCCAATGCCGGTCCCTGTATCACAAACCCTGACGCTCACCTCCAGTCTTGTACCCAAGGAGGAGTCAAACATGCCCTTCATAGATGATGAATTGCTCTGGTGCCCCGATAATGATGGGAAAATGGTGGATTTGACCCAGTGTCTTCAGGTTTGTACTCTCCACAACATTTTTCCCAACCAATACTATGGATTCCTCCGAATCTCGTGGATTTTTTGTAAAATGTGTAAAAACATTTTTTGCGGGACATTAAATTTCCCGCAAAAAAGGTTCTTTGAAATTTTCTTGTAAAACCACTCGCTCCGGAGATACTCACGGTTCAATGAAACGATAAAAATGGATTTGCGATTTCGACGAGTTCGCCAATGGTTTAGTCTTAATTACCGTTGAATAATGAATTGTGCAATGATTCGGGATTAAACGAGATGAGAAACAGTTAGGCTGATCTTTCGTACAGAGGAATGCATTGAGCGCATGCCAAATTGAGGAAGAGATCGAATTAATACTGATGCATCGGTCATATTAGATTTATTTGTTTACAATGAAGAGAGTAATTGGTGCAGATAAAGTGAGAGCACTGTATAGTTAAATAAAAAAGTTCTATGATCAGTTAATTTTCCCAATTTGCTCAACTCGGCGCTCATTTTAATGAATCAAAAACATCCCAAACCGAGTAGTTTGACTCCCAGTGTGCGTCAATGAGTCTGGGAACTGATAGGATACGTCTTTAATTAAATTATCATCATTCAGGAAAGCAGCACTGGTCAGTCGGTGGAGTTCTCCACAATGGAGCTGAATGCCCTGGTGGGTGCACCAGCTGCACCAACCCATGTGCCTTCTGAGGATGGTGAGGGTATGTCGGGGGTTAACGAGGAGCCCTTTGACCCACTCGATACTTTGATACGTGAATTGCAGGCTGATCTCGCTGAGGCGAGTCAACCAACATCAACTACAACACCAACTGGCAATTCCTACAGGCGGCAGAGGTACAATATCGCCGCAGCAAATCCACTTTTAGCAGGTGAGACATTTAATATTATACTGCCAGTAAAGTTGAAGTGACCAATCGCACTTACAATGTAGAGAACTGCGCATTTAACTCACCTGAATCCATCGACAATCCACGGAAATGAATTAAATAGATTCAAAACGAAATATAAAAATACACCTATACTGCCAGTAAAGTCGGCAATGAAGTAGAAAGTTTTTTATGAATTTTCTTATTCGTGAATTAGTTTTTCACGTTGTTTAATGGCCTGTGGGAAAATATTTCTGGCTAACCGATTTTCGGTATTTTTTTCCGGGTTTTTATTGCTGCTTTTAGTGGTTTAATGTTATCATTTTTCGTTGATGGTTATTTGGTGGATATCGCGAATTCTACGGGAAATACCAACATGTAAGGAGGTTGTAGAAAATAACGAGAGCTATCCACAAAATTTTCCCGAAAATTTCGATATTTCCCTTAGATCCATAGATATTCTCAAGAAATCGGCGACTACATTCGTTGTAGTAAATTTTCATGACTAAAAATTTAAAAAATTTAAAAAAATTTTTATTTTTTTTTTACAGAAAAACTGGCTGCACCATCTACGCAAGTATCTCCCTCATCATCGATGCCGTACACCGCGAGAGCAGACATAAAAACAGAGAACCTCATTGCCGAAAGCAGCAAGGGTGAGTCCATTTTCATCTAACACTTCTGCATTATCGACAGTAAACCAACAACTTACCGATCTGCGATCGATCTAAATACCCGTCGATAATGCAGAATTCTGCATGCACAAGTTAATCCGGACATACCGACCGATATAAATTGATCGTCGCAATTGATAAAGAAACGACGATAAAAAAAAAAATAGAAGGAACTGCATCGGTAATGCATTCTCTGTTACGCCAACCGATGGCCATCGATCGTTAATTGAATCGCAGAAAATAAAAATCTCGAAGTAAATTCAGAAAGATGTCGTGCCGATTTACAGCGAATATTTACCAAGTACTGTTTACACAATTGTCCGAAGAAAACCGGTATGCGGTTTTCAAACTCTGAAAGGAAAACCGGCCAAGGCCCTCCTCCCGACAAATTGCGATCGGGCATCCGCGTTAGTACATAATTGCGCTTCCATTCTCGCGGTGCAAAGAGGGGGGAAGGGGGGGGGGGGGAAGAGAATAACGCAAAAAGGAAACAAATTGCCTTTTTTTTTAAAACTCTCAAAGGTGTGCATTTACTCGGTGCGCATTCTACGCATCGTGTGCTCATGCGTGTCCCAATTTTGACAATTTACAGCTCTTTCGTAATACAACGGTGATGTACGTGTGTACACGCAATTCATACTCGTGATCTCGTTTTATTCAGTCACATGATGCAGTTTAGAGAAAAATTGAATTTCACACGTGAGAAAATTCTTTGGAAAATTAAGGAAAAAGTCGTTTTGGCAGTAGGAAAGTTTTCGTAGGGATATTTCTGGATATACGGGAAATACATAAATTTTTGTAGAGACCTTTTTTGTAGATCTTCTTTCCGACTATGGAAGACGTTTTGGGGAAAATTTTGATACTTGCATTAGATTCCGAGATATTCACGAAAATCAAACCAATGACTCGACTGTCTTCGTCACCAATTTCCATCAAGAATTTAATAACTCGGTTAATTAGTGGAATTCGAATATCTCCGCGTTATCGCAATTATTTAAACCCAATTATTTACTCCGATCGCATAAATTTTATGTAATTAATCAACACGTCGGGTATTTTTTCGGTGAATTTTTTTTGAAATAATGAATGGATGAAAAATATTGCCGTCAATTCCCGTCAATTTTTAATAATACAAAATGCAAACTGAAACGATAAATTGAAGCAATTGAGTCCAATTATGGCAATCGAATAATTATTGCCCCATCCAGTGGCAATAATTCCCCACGAGTTGCATAATTATCAGGTCAGAGATTTAAAACGAATTGAGAGCGTACGTTGTAATGCAGGAAGGAAGGTGGGGTACACCTGTTTTAATTTTCATTTAGTGCGTGTTACTCTGGTTTTAGTGAGTGTGTGGGCTAAATGAGCATGAGGAATCTATTTCCGTGGTACTGGCCAGTCCCAGAGGCCTCGGAGCCAAGGATTTATGAGTTTTTGGGGGTCAAGGGAACGAGGGTACAGACAACAAGTGCGTTAGGGGACAAATGCAATGTCTAATGCAACACTCGGGAGAACTAGAATTTAGTTCCTAGTGGACTAGATTATTTTGGGGACTATGGGGTCACGGACTTGAGTCATCGTATCACGATTTTTCGGTGTCTATTCATATTTTCGATGATGTGACATTTTTTTCGTCAATGAAATAGATTGGATTTGAATTTTTAGGAATTTGGTGAATTAGAAAAGGCATTCATAATTAGCGTTGGATTATTAGGTGTTCTTTAATTGGGAGTTAGCGGTTTTAGGGAATATTTCTCGAAGTTTTAGTGGTTTCATAAAAATTTCAGTTGAGTGAATTCATTATTGAAGAAAAGAGAGAGTTCAGTGGATTTTTAGTGAAATCAGAAATTTTATTAGTCCTTTGATTATTTAATTGAAACGCAAAAAATAACGAAAACTCAAGTAAACTATTCTCTCAATTTTCAATGAACAAAAATTCTTGATTTCATCGTATAAATTTATTGACTCCATTCACTTGATTTCATCAAAACCGATAAACTAATTAGTCGATAATCGGTAGAAATTTATTTGCGATCAAAAATTCTCGATTTTCGGATTTTTCACCCAATTCGACTAGTTCATATTTTTCAATTTAGAAATTTCTTTTGGAAGCCAAAATCTCGGAAAAAATTATGAACGGATATTTCAAGTATCTCGAACTAATGATTGACGTTCACAACTAAAGATAGAATAGAATCC